CTGTCCATCTAAAGTGCCTCCCTGCTACTAGTTCTCCATCTTTATCTTTCTTCTGAGGTAGAAATGATATATGACAATATATTGACACTCCTTGTTGGTGATTTTGGTAATATCGATTAGACTTTCTATAAGCTTATAGACCTGTTGCTTATAGAGCATGGTCGTAGCATTAATGATGGAATACTTTTTGAGTAAGAATTAAAGTCTCTGGTGATGATGAGGTGTTTGTTTTTGTGGTTGGAAAGAAAGTTTTTAAGAAACATTATTGCTGTATGACAGTCTGCTCTATCATGCAGGAGATACATTGCAGTTATAATGACATTAGCCTTGGGCTTGAATTTTAAATGGGTTGCACACCAGTATTCATTTTCGGTATATATTTTGAAGATGTGCTATATTTGAAGAGAATATAAGGTATGTGCTATTACTGGCAGAGGAACTGGGTTTGCTTGCTATTATAACTTTGTCTCCTATTCTATTTGGCAACTGGTGATTTATTATATTTTTGTTTTAGTACAACAGAAAATTGCTCTTTCGTTTTTAATAGCATGGATGATTTTGTTTAGCTTGTCTTTTTGGTTAAGGTCTCTAACATTGAGTGTTGTGATTGTAAGAAGGTTTTTAATAGTCGGTAAAAGGCTGGAATGTGGAGATGTTGTTATAAGGAAGGGTATTAAGTTGGTTATGAAAGTCATTATTATTAGAAGAGGCAGGGGAGAAGAGTCAAGCCTGGATCAGGTGACTCTTTTTCAATGATAAAGGTGGTGGGAAGGCTGTTGGAATAAAAGTAGTTTTTAAGTAGTTTTATGGTATCAGCTAGGTATTGGTCTTCGATTAGTGGCAATGTAATATTAATGTCATTTTGTTTCAAATGATTGTTAGCTTCCTTCATGGAGGGCAAGAGTAGGAGAACCGGCAAGATTCATTTTCTGAAAATTTGTCCTTGGTAAGTTTCTTTAATTCTTTTTAAGATTTGTGCATGTGTTGGTGAGTCTCTGTGAAGTTTCTCATCTGTAATGTTCAGTTGCTCTTTAAATGTTTTGATTTTTTCAGAGATGCAAGATCTTTAATCCTAGATTAGGTTTTTACTAATCCACTCAGGACCCAGGGGCAGCTTGATAAAGAATTTTTGTTTGAGTGTAGTGATGAAGTCCTTGACTTCCTCTTGTGATTGGATTGGTAAAGAAATAAAGTTATTTTCACTGAATCATAGTGCCAGTAGAAGTGTGCACTTGACTTAAATGTAATCTGAAGAAAGACAATGAACTGCAAAGTTGTTGTCTCTAAGAAGTTGTGTGGCAAAGCGAATTTTTTCAGAGTTGCTTTCTACTGGAAAGTGGTGGACAAGATTAGATAGGAGTTCTGTGTATAATGCTGGTAGAAGTGTTTTTGGTGGGAGAAGCTTGAAGTATGATTCTGGTAGCTTGGAGGAAATATAGTAGTAGTCCCTTAGTTTATTAGTAAAGTCTCTTAAGTTTTTAAGGTCACTTTGCTTAGTCAGTGAGAAAATACTTCTGAGTTCAGATTTAAGGTCTGAAAAATTCTCAGGTAGTGGTGGTCTTTGTACAAAGTATAATTCAGGGAGTCAGTCAAAGTTTTAAAAGGCCCTGAGACTATCAACTACTTCAGTTGTGTATTGGGAGGAGGTTATTGGGATAGCTTTGGAGAGTTTAATTTTGATTGAGGAGGGAACAAGTTCAGGAAAAATAGGGAAAGTAAAGAGTTTATCTTTAATTGCTTTTTTGCATTTTCAAATTATGGCTTGATGGTCAATTTTTTTTACAGTAAAGTCAATGAAAAAGTTGAAGCCGAAGTCAAAAATTTGAGTTATATGCCAATGTTTTAAGATTGTGAAATTGATGGATTTGAGATATGTGATAAAAAGGGCTTTGTTGATTATTGCCCTAATTTTTTTTTGTTGATCTATTGATGTAACCAATATTGTTTGCTTTGAGATAATTATTGTGAAATCCTTTCTTAAAATTTTCGTATTCGATTTGGTGTTTGCCTTTGAGGAGGTTGTTCCTTGCAAATGTTCTGAAAAGGATGTAATCTCTGTAAGCAAATTTGGTCATAATGGCAATGGTTGTTAGTTTTACTTTAGAAAAGCTGTCCTTCCTTATGTTTAGAAATCATTGGATGATTGCATCAGTGTTTCTGTCACATTTGTCGACTTCTCTACATAGCTCAAGGATTTTTGAGTGTTTATCCAAAGGGCTCACTCTCATGATGTCAGCTTCAATGGTAGAGGGAGTTGTTGATCTATTTGTTGTTGCTTTGTCAACTTCATCTGTTCAGAATGTTGAATTTGTAGGGAGGGAGGAGTTAGTTAATTCAGATTGACTTGAATTTGTGCTTAGTTCATCAATTTCCATATCTGTTTAGTACACTGCTATGCTGATGTTAGTGTTGGGTATGCTGTCGTGTTCACGATATGTGCTAGAAAGACAATCATCTTGCATATCATTGTCGTCACTCATTGCTTCATTGGATACAGATGTATTTGGTGGAGTTTGAAAGTTTTGGTTTTTTGAATTAGAAAAAAAAATTTCCAATATCGTCAAATTGGATGTCGATTTTGTTCCAAGGTATATGAAGCTTGTAGTTAAGATTTAATCTGTTTATTTTTTTCATAACTCTAGTCTGTCATTGTCAGTAATGTCGAAGATATTTTGGAAGTCAAGGAATAGGTTCAGAGCATCCACTGTCATGGGGTCCAGGAGAAATATGTTTACTGCAATTGCAGAAGAAGAGAAGATACTTTTTCTATAGGGTTTGAAGGAAGCAGCAATTATTTTTGGAGCTTTAGGTTCATCAATAGTGGAGTATACTGGAGTAAGCCAAATTTGTGGGTGGTTTCCAAGTAGAGAAAATTTGATGGTTGTCGCTAGACTGAAAGCAATAATTTTATTCATTTTTGTATTTTTGTAAACTATGACTACTTGTAAATTTGAGATGTCGGTTATGAGAACATACAAAAAAATGAACTCATGATTGTTTGGATGGACCTTGAGGGAAAAGGAGCTCCCAGGATCCTTGGGTATTTTTTTTGAAGACGAAATTTTTTAGTTTTCTTTTATGGTAAATTTTCTCACAAATGATGTGATATGGAAAAGAGTTTTTTTGATTTAGTAAATATTAAAATTATAATTTTTTTAAAAAATATAAAAATATAATAATTATCTGATTAGTAATATAATAATTATTAAATCTTATTTTAATTTTATATAGCAGTTAAATTAAATAGAATAAAAATATTTATTAAAGTTTTTTAATTAAATTTTTTTTTAAAAAAATAAATGGTTTTTATATTTTATTTATATTATATTTTTAGACTTGTGATTATAAGATTTATAATTTATAGTATAATATATATCTTTCTTTATTAAAAAAAGTTTAATACAAGGCTTACAATTATAGTTCACTTATCTAAGCCTTTTGATATTATCCAAAAATATCAAAAAAAAATCAAAACCTATATTATACCTTAAGTAATGTTTAGCTTTTTTAAAAAAATTGATTACATAATTATATAAAGATATTGTATCTATTATATATAGATTGGCCTTACTAAAATTAATATATTTGCTTTTCAAATATAATTTTATATATAGCAAATATAATAAATATTGATTTCAGACTATATTAAACTCAAGTTATATTAAAATAAAATCAGTTTTTCACTATTTGTATTTAGCATTAATCTTTTATTTGAACTTATTATTAAAACCAAAGGTTAGAGAGTAACAACTAACTTTATCACCAAAACAATCCTGAAATAACATTAATCTTTTATTATTTGTACTTAGTATTGACTTTTATTTGAATTTATACTAGGATTAAAAGCTAAAAAATAGCAATTAATCTTATTATCAGAGTAGTTTTAAAAGATATGTTTTGATTTTAAAATAGTTTAAAACCAGTAGTTGATAAAAAAAAAATTTAAACATAAAGTATTAATTTGTTAAAAACTTAATTAATTTTTTTATGCCTCTAATCAAACTGTAATTTGCTATGTTTATTAATTTTTTCATAAAAATAAACCAATAATACATTGAACTCTAAGGCTTTATACTAAAGCTAAACTGAGTATAATGCAGAATACTCATTAACAAGTTGTTTTTAGATTTGTATGTGATCATTGTATCACCTACATGATTGTTAAAACTTATTTAAATTAATAAAAAATTTAAATATAAATATATGAATAGTATAAAATTATTTTTACTCATAACTAGTTTATAAGTTATATTATTATTTTTTTTAAAATAACTATTTTTAATAAAAAATTTTATGCTATATATTAATTTTATAATTTGATTTTTATAAAATCAAGTTTTTATATATTTTTTCATAACAAATAATATAAAAATAATATTTTTTTAAAAAATATAATATTAAAAAAAAAACATATAATATTTAAATAATATTATTAATTAATATAAAAATATTTTAGTTGAAATTGTTTATTAATACTAAAAGATTTATATTTAATATATATATATATATTAGATTAATATTTATTAAATAATGATATGATTTTTAATTTTTTAAAAAAATTTTCCAAAAAAATTTTAAGTACCACTGTATATATATTTAATATGAAAGTATATTATAAAATGAATAGAGTTTTGTAAATAAAACAATACTTATAAGCCAAAATAATTTATGAAAGAGAATAGACAGAACAAGTTACTAATTTAATGGAATCAATAAAAAATACTGTATATATAATAAATCAAATGGTAATAATATTTTATATTAATTTTTTAAATAAAATTTTAATAATAAAATTTTTCATAATATATGTTTCAAAGACTTTTGTATCAGATCATATATCAAAAACATGTGAAAATTGTGTATTTGGAAAAAATGATCTCAGTGTATCAAAAATGTTTAAGATTTGTGCACGTTGGAAATGCATCGGGACACGAAATAGTTCCAGAAATACTGTAATTTGCTTAAATACTTAATGGAGGGTCAGATTTTGACCTAACTTTGGGACTTGAACCTATATGGAATATGATATGCATAATAAAGATTAAATTTATTTATTTATTCATATTGGATTCGATTTCAAGGGTATGGAGTTGATAAGGAATTGTTTCTGCGGGAGCCGAAATTGATCGGCAATTATACAGTATTCCTTAATTTTATTTGTAGCCATTGTTATTGATAAAGTCCAACCATGTGATTGCAATACAGCACAGTATAAATATTTCTTAACAAATAGTTGTTAACTACTACTGGTTCGAATTCTTACATTATTATGATTTTATCCTGATATTTGAAATAAATTTTGCGCAATCATCTAATTTAGAGATAAAATATATAATATAATACTGTACTGTAATGGTATAATAAATAATCATCTATTTATTCCGATGCGGAATTACTCAAACATGTGCAATTTCCATTTTTAGTTACGCAGGTAATGTATGATGTAGGTGCACGTGATCCATTGTTTATATAAAATATGCAACATAAGACACAAACAAGCCTTGACTTTTGCAACTCACCTTCTGCTATCACGCTGTGCGTTTCGTAAACTTTCGTTTTCAAATTTATTGTGTAATGCATTATGTCTATGTACTTGAATGTGTCAACAATAAATACTATGTTGGCAAGACTAGAAGTATGCACAATAGATTTGAGGAACATGTGAGTGGAGGGGAACGTGCCGCCGAATGGACACGCAAATACAAACCGATCCGTATTAAATGGATAAGAATTAGCAACAACCATTCTTTGGAGTTTGCAAAAACCCTTCATTGTATGAAAAAATATGGTATCAAGAACGTGAGGGGTGCCTGTTACAGCCGAATTAATTTACGAAAAGAAGATTACCAGTCCATTTATTACGGTTTATCTCACAAATGTTTTAACTGTGGTGGAGATGGTCATCGAGCTCGCGACTGCGAAAATTGTCCCAAATGTAACAGCGCATGGGAAGAATGTTGTTGTACGTATAGCTGTCGTAGATGCAGTAAAATGAATCATTTTCCTGGAGACTGCAATTTTAGTTGTTACAACTGTGGTAGGCCTGGTCATTATGCTCGAGATTGTAATTACTGCGAAAACTGTGGCGGATATGGACATCATTCTGATGATTGTTATTATTGCGTTAACTGTGGCAGTCATGGTCACAATTATGATAATTGCAATTACTGCGTCAATTGCGACGATTACGGTCATCATTCTAAAGATTGCAATTATTCTTCTGATGAGAGTAGTTGTTATTGTGACAACTGTGGTGACGAAGGTCATGGTTATGAAGATTGCGATTACTGCATCAACTGTGGAATGCATGGCCATCACACCGATGATTTAAAATATTGCGAGAACTGTGGCGAATGCGGTCATTATTATGAAGATTGTAAATACTGCAGCGGTTGCGAGGAATATGGTCACCACACCGAGGATTGTGATTATTGCGAAAACTGTGATGAATATGGTCATTTTTATGAAGATTGTATTTACTGTATTAATTGCGAAGACTATGTTCATCACACTGCGGATTGCGACTATTGCGAAAACTGTGGTGAATACGGTCACGATTTCACTGATTGTGAATATTGTAACAACTGTGATGAATATGGTCATTATTATGAAGACTGCGATTACTGTAACAATTGTGAAGATTATGGTCATCACTCTGAAGATTGCTTCTGTTGCGAAAATTGCGGCGTATATGGTCATTATTCCGAGGATTGCGATTATTTCATCACACAGCCATTTTCACGAGGATTATGATTATTGTCGATAATTTATGAACGGATCATATACTTGAGATTGAAGAATGTCGCCTATTCTTATGGTCGAAGTTATTCTCAACAAATGGCGGATAAATCAATCTAATTCGAATTGGTATCAAACATACTGTGAGCATTTATAATTGTTAAGTAACACTTCTTTGGTTTGACATTTTAATACACAAATAATGCAAAAATTAAATAATTAAAATAAAATTTATAATAATAATAGTAATAATAAATCGAATATTCCTTGTCATCGATAACAGAGAATAATAGATTCGGCATTTTAATATATTAGAAATGGTTTCATCCCAAACTGGTTTATGCAATTTTACTTTTAAACGATTATTTCATAACGTGACAATTACTGTATAAGCAACCATCAATAACAATTTATGATGCATTTAAAACAAATACATAGTGCATCACTTCGTACAAATAAAAATGATATTTTTTTATAATTTGCAAAAGTTACAGATGCATTTTTAAGTACGATAATTTTAAATCATAGAATTTAAACATCAGAATTTATACAATATTAACATTATTTACAACCAAAATCTTATGGTTTAAAAAAAATAATTTTGGTTTTTGCGTTTAAAAATAATTATTAAAAAAAAAAATAAATTGGACGCAGTATCTGTATTAAAAGATAAAGTATAATAAATAAATTTTGCAAAAATATAGAACCTTAATTATATAAAAAAAAATCGACAATTTTTTTTGCGGTATTATATAACATTATTGTTAAAAAATGGTTTATAAATTATTTTACCATTTTGCAAAATAAATTTATTAAATAATATTTAATAAAATATCAATTTAAACAATAAATCTATTTAAACAATAAATCTATTTATATTAATATTTTTTTAAAAAATTATTTTTGTTTAAACTTTATTAAAATTAAAATTAAAAAGAAAAAATTTTGATTAAAAATTATTTATATAATTAAAATAATGAAGTCGGTAATACAATAATTTTTTATATACTGTATTTATTTAAATTAATCTCCCAAAAATTTTTTATCTAATTTAAAAGGATTTTATAAAAAATCACTTACAGCAAAACATGTATTTTAAAAAAAAAAGATTATATAATATCATTACCTTTAACAAAAACTATGTAAAAACTATTGCGTGATAAGTAAAATTATTTTAGATATTGTATTCAGTAAGGATGGTTAATGTTTTTATTGAATAAATATTTACTACTATATACGATACGTAGTACTGTATATGTGAAATAATTTTTAATTTTTTTTTTTTATAGTGATTTAGAAAATATATAGATAAATTATACAGTATATTGGTGAAATAGAAAAATAATTAATATTGATGATTGAATATAGTCAAAAATAATAACAAAAGGCCATCAATATATGCGTACATATTTATAAAAACCTTCAATTATAGTGATACGATTATTTTACTTATTAGAATTTGAATTTTTTCAATTCGCCTACAGTACCTGTAAAACCGCAAAAGAGTGCCTAAGAACTAGAAGGATAGTTTAGTTTGGCACTAATATAAATTTATGCTTCTCTTGACCTATAACGCTGTTCGTTGCATGCGTTTTACATGTACTGTATATTAAGATATAAATGATTCAGGAACCCACCATGTTCCATAACAATAAAAATATTTTTCGATTAAGATGTAAGACTTTACAAACCAAAAACTCTTGAACGTTTATTAAAATTTGAAATACAGTGATATATTTAATGAAGACAGCGCAGAATCGATTGAAGCCAGTATGTAAAAAGCAAATACGTCTAATAATATAAATCAAATATATTTAACGCGCCTAATTGTTTTAGGTCAATAATAAATGTTCTATACAATAATACATGTCCCAACGTTTTTATTCTGATCTCCAACCACTTGCTATATATATATGGGCTACCTTGGTTTCAATATTGTACCAGTTGTTTCAGTAAATTTTCTTCAGAATAATTATTTACAAATTCAGTATAACAAAATTTTAAAAATGAGTTTTAAATGAATAGATCGGTCAGAGTTTTATTCTCACTTAGGGCCTCTTTTGCCGATTTTCCAAGATTATTGTTCAACAAATTCAAAGTGGACAGAGCGGTATTCTTGCTTAGTGCATTGGCCAGTGCCATTCCTACCGAATCGCCGAAATTATTGTTCTGCAAATTTAAATAAGTTAGAGTAGTATTCTTGCGTAGCATTTTGGCTAGAGACATTCCAGTCAACTCTCCTAATTCATTGCTGGATATGTTTATGTGTTTCAGTGAGGTGTTCTTGCATAATGCCTCGGCCAGCGCCTTCCCTGCCGACTCTCCTAATCTGTTGTTAGCTATTTTCAGATTGACCAGGGTGGTATTTTTGCATAATGTCTCGGCTAGTGCTATTCCTGCAAATTCCCCTATTAAATTATTGTTTATATTTAAACAGGTCAGAGTTGTATTTTTGCAAAGCGCCTCGGCTATCGCTTTTCCAGTCGATTCTTTTAACTCATTATTACTTATATCTAGATCGACCAGGGCAGTATTTTTGCTTAGCGCCTCAGCCAGGACTTTTCCCGCAGAATCTCCTAATGCGTTTCCACTAATATTCAATTTATTCAGTTTTTCATAATCCAGCAATGAACCTATCATTCTTGGATTAACTTCTAATAGCTTTTTCCAATATAAGGATGCCAAGCTAGATCCTGTTTCATAATGCACCTTCCCCAAACCTAATAATACGTGTTCATTATTTGGTTCAATCTCATGTGCTTCATCATAACATTTCAACGAATCTTCGTATTTTTTAATCGAAAAATAAATGTCCCCGCATAATATCAATGCTGAAATATTATTCGGTTCGGCCTTTAATACTATTTTAATATCCTCTAGTGCCTTTTGGAAATTTCCAAAATGCCGATAAATTTGACTTCTATTTATGTAGGCTGATTGCTTTTTAGGTTTTAATTCAATGGCATGTGAGTAACCTTCGAGTGCTTGCAGATGTAGATTAAGCTTCTCTAAATTATTTGCTCTTTCACATACGAGCGAATAGTTAGAAGGTTGATATTTTAATACAGCCGTATACCACGAAATTACTTCTGTGTGCTTTTCGTATTCGTCAGCTAATTTCGAAGTTTTTTCTTTTATTATATTGATAACGTCTGTTGTAGACTTATTATCCAGATTATCTAACTTTGAGAAAAACTTATCTTTTAATCCGTGCATGGAATTCGTTGGTAATACGTTATCTGATTCTGATGGTGTATTAAAGTATCCAGCCTCTTCTAATCGTTTGCGAAGACCGTTGAGTATAGCATTCTGAGAGATATCGGATATGGTTTCTTTTATTATGGTCTGGCAGGTCGGGATCGGACATTTGAATTCATTATTCTTTAATTCCGACATTGTTTTCCAGAAATCAACAGCAGGTTTGCTAATTACATGCCCGCACTCTAAAGCACAAAAATCGCCCGTGATTATTTTCCATATCGGGCACGTTAATTTTTCGACAATGATACTTAACAACCGCGAATCACTTTTTTGATCGACATCATAAACCATTTTTTCCTTTCCCTTTGTACATTTAATTTCTCCCTTCAAATTGTTGTAAAGATAATTATCCGATTGAATTTTTTGCCTAACCTTGTTGATTAATGCATCGAATTCGTCACCCTGAACACATTCCTGTTTTCTATAAAGGTCGATCTCGGTTGCGACCAACTTTTCAAAAATTTCCGGTCTTTTATCTGACAATCTCAGTAACAATTCCAGAGCCTTATATCTTATAAATTTATTGCGAAATTTTATCAAGGATTCCAAACTTAAGTAATAGCACACGATCAAAACAAATTCCCGTGAAGTTCTATCAATAATAGCTTGCGCAAAATCAAGTATCCCAAACAATAACAAATTTGTTAAGCGAATTGGTTTATCTCCACCTACTGCATTAATAAACTTCGATTTATCATTTAGAATTTCACATCTATTTGGGAATGATCTGGAGCATTCGTTATGAAAATGTTGCCAAAGAAGTTCTAAAAGCCTTGCCTCCTCAACTTCACGGAATATCTGATGACCTTCGTCTATTTTTGTTAAATGGTTATTTGCATCAAGTATTTCACGCCAAGCACCATACCAATTGGAAGCTGAGTGTGAAGAATGAAATGTTTTTTCTGTCGAATACCTTGCCCGCTCAATTAATTGCAAGTATGGATCATCTATACTTTCCATTCCATTTAACGTAATTCTTAGATGAATCAATAGAAAATTAATGTTATAGTTGCATAGATTAATTCTACTAGTTCTTGGGCTACCACGTTCGTTACGCGCAAATCCTTCTTGCAAGTGCTTTTCTAGCTCATAATGAATTTTTGCAAATTCTCGTATGCCATAATACATACTCTGGTTGATCGGAAAATAAATCCGAGAATAATGTATTTTTTCTAAAACCGAGAAGTAAGTTCTAAGGTGCAATTCCATACGGGGACTTGTGTTATCATCCATACATCGCTCAAATGGTGAAGGATCCGATAGTTTCTCTAGAGTATCTTTTAACATAATCGAAGAGATTATTATTTTATTATCTTTCATTAAATTCATAATGTTGTATAAATTAGAAGGCTTATTTAAATCCGCAATAAACATGGATAATCTGGCCTCCGCAGATTCTGTTTTAAGAATTTGAAAAAAAATACATTTGTTATTAAGTAAAATAATTTTTAAAGTACTGTAATGTATATCATTGATTTTTACCTGCCAAACTTGTTTCTTTTTCCCATAAACATACTCGATTTCTTCCCAAACTTTTAGCTTTAAGTAATGCCTTATCAGCCATGTCACGCAACATTTCAAAAGAATCCACCAACGCGTTCACCTCTGCGACTCCAATACTAAGTGTAACCTTTAATTCCTTTTCATTATGAATAAACAGGTGTGTTTCAATTGAGCTACGTATCATTTCTGCAATCCTAAGAGCCGATTCAACGTCAGTATTTTTAAGAATGATATTAAATTCATCCCCACCATATCGTGCGAAAATGTCGTCAGGGCGAACATGGTGATTTTTAATAATATCAGTCAGCTCGTTCAAAACATAATCAGCTACTTCGTGACCATTCTCGTCATTAATATTTTTAAAATGATCTATATCAAAAAATATTAGGCTTAATTTTAAACCCCTTTCTTTAATATTTTTAAATTCCTTTTCAAAAGAATCCCCTATTAAACGAGCATTATAAATCTTCAATTTAGGATCCAGCAAATTTTCATACTCTCCGGCAGGAAAATATTGAAAAATACAGTTTCCCATTTGGATTTCATCATGTTTCTTTAAAGTACAAGGTTCATTGGGATCAATCTTATGACCATTGATAAAAGTTCCGGATAGTGAGCCATTATCAATTATCGAAACTTTTCCTTGATTATTCGAAATTTTTGCGTGTTTCCTAGCGACCTCTTGGTCCTTTACGACAATATTATTTGTGGGATCTCTTCCAATTAATGTATCAAATTGACTAAGGTAAAAGCATTGATTTTGTGGTGTTCCTTGAATAACGATTAGGCAAGCCTCGCTCTCTACCAATGGATATCCATAACGGATTTCTGAAATGTAATCGGAGTTTTGATATACATGTCCAAGATCAATGCTTTCAAGATCCATCTCTTCCACCGTCGGCCGCTTTTCAGGAATATTATTCCACAGATCGCAATAAAGTTCCTTATACTCTACTGGGGTTCCATCAATAGGACTTTCTCTGGTTCCTGAGATAAGTTCATTCTTTAAAGCTTCGTTGTCCCCTTCCAATTTCTTACTAAAAGGAGGGATATCACTTGATAATTCCCATAACAAAACTCCAAGACTATAAACATCTGATGGCTTGTCTCTTTTACAACGAAGTTTGAAAAATCTCGGATCCACATAAGCCACCATTTCGGGATCAAAGCACTCTTCACGGGTTTCCAAAAATCTGCTTGGACCATCGAGTGATATAGAGGTATCAAATCCCTTGATCACTGGCCTGTCATTATATATCAGAATATTTTTAGGATTCTGATAAAAAAATTTTATAAAATAATTATTATTTTTGATCCTGCATACAAAATTGGTCTAATAAAAGCTTACCAAATTGCAGTGAACAATATTTTCACGATGAACATCACGCATGCCATTAATAACCTCCTTTGCTATTTTTACTCTGGCAGGCCAACTTAGTTTCGCTGAATTTTTCTGCAAATACATCCTAAGATCTTCGCCGTATGCACATTGAAATACAATACAATAAAATTTCTGAGACGGATCTGTAATAACGAATGGAAACAGAAATAAATAAATAAAATCCCAGTGATTAATAATGCAATATATAAAATGCAAAATAATCTGCTTATAATTGATAAATACTTGACCTTTGCTAATTCCTAAAAATTTGATTATGTTTTCACTATCATTTAACTTAATTAAATTCTGCACCTATTTATAATAAGCATTAAAATATTTGTACGATTAATAAAACCTAACAATAGAAAAGCATACCTCTCTGACAAAATTCGTGTAATAATTATCTTCGATCTCATAAACATCATCTTTTAAATATTCAAGGATCACCTTCTTGCCGCATTTTTCTTGAGCTTTTTTAACATCTTTTAGCATTGTCGTCGAGACATGCTCAATTTCTCTAAACATATCATAATTAAATATTTTTATCCATTTCTTATCAATGGCATTTTCAAGCCATTCCTTTGAATCCGTGTTCATTTTTTGAATACGTATTTACGTATGTAATTTTTTTTTTTAACCTAAAATTGTTCGTAGGAATCTGACTATTTATCGTTGCACCATTTTTTAGGATTTCATCGTGTAATTGAAACGCATTTTTTCCCATTGATATTGTGTCATTACATAATCTAAACAACTTTGCCGATACTTCCTGTTTTTTCTTTGATATATTATTCAATTTTTATCTATTTTTGATTTCCACGCCTACCTGTCGTTACATTCATTCATTGTGTAAGTCAACTCGGTCGCCTCTTTGCGGAACTCCGATTTAGCTTGTTACACTACATTGGTACGATTTTAGGTTTTTTTAAAAAAGTATCTTATCTATAGAACTATGAGTATGTCGCCTCTTTTTTTAAATATAATATTTGTTTACTTATCAAAGATAAAACATAAATTGAGATGACTAATAAGAAAAGGTAGAGTTTTTGCAGGTCAATAATTGTGCGATTTGATGTTGTGTTGTATGTGTTGTATGAAATATACGCCAAAAAAATTTTTTTAGGTTTATTTTCACTTTTACGCTTTTTTCTAAGAACAATAATAATATACAGTACTTCACATATTAAATAGTGTTATCGTAGCTTGCTTGCAATAATGCATAACTAATATTAAAGAAGAAGGTTGAATTATGCTAAATTGAATTATGAATATATTTGTATTGAACAAAAATACAA